ATCACCGTCTGTTCGTGCTGGATCCCAACGTGTCAGAATCTCGGATGACGGTACATGGTGTTCCCCAAGGATTTATTCTTGGACCAGCGCTTTTGAACATATAAATAAATGATCTCCCAAGCATTTCTAACATGTGCTCCCTGGAATACTATGTAAATGATTCCAAAATGTACCTGTCGTTTCAAGTTAAGACCTAAGAGAAAGCCGCTGCTCTTTTGACCGCAGATTAACAGAATCGTTCCTGCTTGGTGCTGCAAACACAGTTTCTCACTAAACCCATATAAGACAAAACTCCTACTTCTAGGGACACATCAGATGCCAGAAGACTTCCATAGAACTCTCCTTTGGAAACAGATAATGCCAGTACCTTCGCTTAGAAATTTTAGGACAATATTGTACTTTACTCTAACTTATAATAAGCATGCCACCGAAGTTGTGTCAAGATGCACTCCCAGGCCTATGGCAGCTCGAGTGAAACGCATTCTTGAGAGGCAGTCTCTGATAAAAAATTGTAACGCTTTTGTTTTTGGTAGGCTATATTATCGTTCATCTGTATTGTTAGTGCAACACGTCAAAGAAGATCCTTACAAAATTGCAAAACGTGCAAAACTTTGCCAAATGTATTAGACCAAACAATAAGAAATTCGATCATATAACACCAGCATCGAAACAGTTGGAGTGGCTCCCAGTGCGTCAAATGCTAAGATTAAGAGATGCTGCCCGAGTCGTGGCCCCATGCAATTGCCTATGCTAATTTAACAAATGAATGCCCCGTCTTGCACATAAAGAAAAAGAAATGTATCTTTAAAATATATGAAGGTAAAAATGCATGACATGAGGCATATGGCATTGTGCCGATGATACACACTTAATACCTTCTTTGAGAAGTATCCGATTCGTCGTGTTTCACGAGCCCCGGTAAACGAAGCTGTCCGCCATCACCACATATACGAATGATGCACGATCCTCGCATTAGAAAGCGCTATTTCTGCAATAGCGAAAATCAGACCTGAAAAAGAACATTCATCGTATTACCACATATGCTAATTAAAGAGC